AAGAGAGAAGAAGGATTGTGTGACAAGGCTGTGCACAGTGTTAGGATGCAAGGAAAGTACCACAATGAAGTCCTTGAGCCCCGGCTGGCCAGTAAAGAGTGGGTTCCCCAGGAATAGCTCTGCCTAGGTATCCCCATTGCACTCAGTCATTGGCTTATAGGAGGCGCCAGTTCACTCCGACCAAAGGTCATTCAGAGGGCAAAATAGTCAATTCCACCACAAGAAACGTGCTATGAGGTAGTTTCCAGCAAATAACATGGAACTAAGACAGAACTGACATGGCTTTCAGTATGTACCTCTCACTTGGTTAGAGAGGCTGCATAGACAGGAGGAATACAGGATCCTCTGGTATGTACCTTGTCCTTTGGCTTTATAGCCACATCCTAAAGTGTTGAGGAGATCATATGACACTCAGCTTGGCTCCTAGAGATGAAAAGCTGACCTAACCCTCCTGGAATTTGAACTTGTGATTGCCTGAAGTTAACAAAGATATCAACATGGACTCTGAGACTTCTAAATCATCCTCTACAATTTCATATGCCCCCAGGTCAACTCAACAAAAGAGCTATAACACATCTTCTTCAACAAGAGAAGAGTCGATGTCTGGGCAATTTTTCAATCATTCACTACTCTTTTCTCTCCCTCCCCCACCCTCTCTCATTTTGCCCCTTTGCGGAAAAGGTTAATGCCAAGTTAGTATTTTATACTGTACAACAGGCTGCCACTATTCCATGCTAGACAGTATTTCCCCAGTCTTTTCTTATAGGATGCCAAGTTTTTCCTAGACAATATCACACAATACTTTACTTGTTTGTGGAGTGGGTGGAGATGGAAATATAGTCTATTGAAAATAACACTGCTTCCTCCTTGAGATTTCAAGAACCCATCTTTCTTTTAGACTGTCTCTCCGGCAAAAAATCTCATAAAGACAGGAAAAGGAAAAGGAACCATTTATGTTATCTAAAAGGCTTACTTTTGCTAATAGAATACTGTATCTAAAGTATCACACAGATAGGGTCCAATTGACATGGGATATAGGAAAGACATTCACCCTTCTAAGAGTTTCCTTTGCACCACTTTCCTCCCTAAACCAACATCTGCTACCAGCCAGGGTCATGAATGCCTTGTGATATTTTCAACTCTTGCTATTGGAAAGAGATTTGGATACTGGGGCACTAGGCCTTTCCTTTGTCTAACTCAAATAAGTAGCAGAGGTATCAGAGTGGCTAATTGATGAGCTGTAAATCCAATGAAACAGGAGAAAAATCCAAACTTCTATCTCATCTTCACTGTAAAAAACCAGGCAAGTTTGCTACTTGGTTTCCAGGTTTCAGAGTTCTGAAAGCTCAAGTGATAAAATATATCATTATCTAAAAATCTCCATCTCTAAGAATTAAATAAGGAAATGTGTACAGTGATAAGCATGAATAATTTAGACCCAGCATGCAATAAATCCTCGCAAGTCATAGTTCTATCAACATGCTACTATGACACCTCGAGGCTATCAAGATACCTTATGAGCCTTCACTTGGAAATGGGATTGGTGCAATGGCACTTCACTAAATGGGCCTGAGAAGCCTTGACATGAAACGTCAAGAATGATTCTTCCTATTGTCATTGTCTTTAGCCTTCGGTGATTTTCTTCATCTAAAATTTCATGGATATCGTTGCAAAGGAAAGTTTGGATCTGGAATGAGAACCAAGACAACTTTAGGATGTCCATAGACAAAGTACAACAATTGCTTATTGCCAATCAATCTCTTCTTTTGTTTATTCTCTCATGAGTCTGTTAACCCTTCTTCCTTCAGAAGGATTTTCTTCAACTCACCCCAGCTACTAGAAGACCATCATTTTTTTTTCTTTAATCCTCATACCTTCTCTGGTATCAATAGGAAACAGTATTTACTCACTACTGTTTTTCTTTTCAAAAATCTGTCTAGTTGCATACTAGAAACAGTTTCAGCTGGTTTGTTTGTCTTGGACAAGTTGTTGAAGTGAAAAGTTTTTGCTTGGCTGAATTCAGGACAGTTTCATAACCCTGGAAGAAGTGCATGGAACGTGGGTGCCAGCTTTGAGGCCGCTGCTTCTAATGTGTTTCCACTTGCTGCCCATTGTCAAGGCTGGCTAGCCGTAATTAAATTAAGACAATGAGCAACGCAACAGATGCAACTGAGACCACATCCCTGAGTGCTTTTGTTTTGTCACTGTCATTGTCTGCAACAAAGAAGTCACATGTGACAGCCTGGGAAGAGAGCCAAACGCAAACCAGACGATGTTCCAGCTGGTTTTGAATGGCCTGTATGTACGTGTCTGTGCACATAGGAACTCTGCTACTTGCAGCAATGATGGATATATTTTGGCCCAAAGCTTTGCTATGATGCTGATGTCTCACAAGAAAAAGACCAGAAAGGGTGGGGGGAACCTCTGCTCAACTTTATACTTTTGACCTTTGGCTTTGAGAAAAAAAGAAGGATCAGAAGATAAAGCTTGGTGGGATTGGTCAAATGAACCTTGCATGAATTTGAAGAATGAAGCACAAAGGATACCTGAATATTTTTTTCCACCAATCTGTAATTAATCCAGCCTGACAGAACAAATGGGATTGGATAGCTTGTGAGGCTTTCTTTTCCTTGTTTCTGCTTCATTCTTGAGAATTTCCTTAAGTTGGGAATTTTCAATTCTTTAAAGTCTTCTTTGTGTCTACAATGGTATGCATCTTCAACAACAACAAAAAACAAGCAAACCTCAAGTATTCTGCTACTGATTAGTAGTTTGGTAGAAAGGTGGTACCCTAATAAGAGGTATTTTCAGTGTTCAGTGGACCACATAGCAACAGCAGGTCCACACAGAGATGTCTTCAGTGTGTCTTCAGATGTCACAGATGTCTCTGTGACCCTATGCGTCCTTATCTTTCTAGAAAAAGCCCATAGGAAACCAAGAAGTAGGATTACTGGTAGATTAATGATAGATGTTTTGCACAACCACAAGTGTGTAGGAGCCAGAGCTGGTAAAAGCCATATGCTTTTTGAGAGAAAAGTGCCAGGATTTTAAACAGATGGTATTTCCAACTATTCTATTTATAAATACCAAGTTTCTTCTCACCAGTTTCTTTTGTGTTGTTCACTTAGCTAATTGTTTGAATAAATGTTTTTATACACTGATGCTACCTTCCTTCTAATCCATGAAGACAGGAAATTCACCACCAATCTATACAATGTTAGCTGCCTTTTGTGGTAAGAACTAAACAACACATATAAGAAACAAGTATCAGTTCTCTGAGTCTTGGCCAATAGGTATTACTTCAAGGAATGATGGTGGGCTTCCCCCAGTTTCAAGATCAAATCCTTGCTAGCTCTGTGCATTCTGAAGGTCATTAGCTCCTAACACTGTTGTGACTGGGTGGGTGTTCACCTTCACCAGAGGGCAAGTTTGGAGGTTCTAGCTATCCTAGAGAGAAATACTGTTTTTGGTCTTATTGAAAACATTCTGAGGGTTGCACCACTCTGTACCAATAACTGCCCACTACATCTTCTGGATCTATGTAAAACCAAGCAAGAAAGGACCTCAAGTATGTGACTATAAATGTCATTTTTGCTTCAAAGATAAGTCCCTGATCTTGTAGAGCTTCTATTCTAAACAAAACTCAACATTCCTTTTATCATAACCTTGATTGTTGAAAGACTGATAGCACTAGCAAAGATCTCAGGATTTGGGACCTTGGGATAGTTATTTTCCAATAGAGATGATAGCAATTAAACATCAATTTGAGTGGAATTGGTAAGACTTATGTGTATCCTGTGTCAGGTCCAGTGTTTGTACTTTTATGTACATTAATTTTAAATATTTAATCCTCTAAACTAATTGCTATAGTGGTTTTTTTAAAGCCCTAGAATTGGCATTATCATTTGCATAAGTTTCCATTGCTGGAAAATGTTAAGAGCTAAGATTTGAACTCAGTTCAGGATCTCTGTAGCTTTACAAAACTTCCCAATCTCCTATTTCTAAAATGCTGCCTCTCTCCAGAGAGGTGGGCAAGGGGAGAATCTCTTCTTTACAAAAATTACAACAGAACCAATGGCAATAAAACAACCAAGAAGGAGCCCAAAATTGGATCGATTTTTTTTAATTCTCACTAGGAAAAGATTCCATAGAACAGAAGGATAACAATGTTGGGATTCTCTTTTTATTAATAAGTCTGTGATAGAGGCAGATGGGTAACAATACATCTCTGTGTTATTACAAAGAAATTTGTGCTATATAGCCACCAAGCGTACATAATGTAGCATGAGTAAGTGTTAGCTGATGAATGCACCAAAAGCCTATCCACTTAAGTATGTATTTCTCAGAAAAGCTAATGTTCAAAGATCTCTTTTAGCTTGATTAGCAAGGCATAAGATACAAAAGATTGAGACCCAATGTTAGAAATAGACAGGCACAGTTAGATAGGAGGAGTTAGTACATCTTCCACAGCATAGTAGGATAATTACAGTTTATAATATTTTACTTAAACAAAACTGAAGGTAGAATAATTTTCAGGGAGATTTTTTTTTGTCGGTTGTGGGCTCAAGGCTAGCGCTCTACCACAGTGCCACTTCCGGCTTTTTCTGCTTATGTGGTGCTGAGGAATCGAACCCAGGGCCTCATGCATGCAAAGCAAGCACTCTACCACTGAGCCACCTTCCCAGCCTAGGGAGATTAATTTTTAATGTAGAAATGCTATTTACTCTGTTTTGATAATTATATGTTGCATATATATATTGAATTATCTATTACACTGTATTACACAAAATGGGTGATTTTAAAATAAATTATTTCTTTTAACAATTTAAATCTTAAAAGGCATGGCTCGTGGGGTAAAATATCAGCTATGAGTGAAAAAGCCTGACCGAAAGCACAAGGCCCTGAGTTCAAGTCCCACAGCCAGCTCACACACAAAATAAGCACATCAGTATATATAAAACCTCACCAGACTAATGATGACCTTTCTCCTTTATTTGTAGGAAGTACATTTGAAGAACGCAAGTAGAGGGAGTACAGGAAATAAGAACTACAGGATGTAGGAAGACTCTCTTGAGACGTGAAGAAGAATATGTCACCATTGGATCCTTTACTCCAAGGGAGTTACCTATTAAACATTGGAACACCTACCAAAAAAAATAAGTTTGACGACATTTCAAAGATGGGCATTTTCCTCCAACGAAATATCTAAGTAAACATTCCAATGTTGTCTTTAGGAATGATTTGTTAAGAAGGCTTTTTTGCACTTTGCAAAAATGGTCCTGGAGTTGGTAGATTGCTATTGGTCTTTTATCAATAATATTCTATAGGAAAAATATATATATATATATCTTAGTCCCTGCCTATCAAGATCCACAAATGCATGGATGTTGTATAGATCCAGTTGCACTAAATTTTTCTGTGAATCCTGGCTGCTGAAGCCATTCATTCAGCACCTTGTCTAAGTGTTTATGAAGTGTTTTCTTAATTGTGATCTTTCTATATAATATAAACCGTTGGTTTTGGAGTCTGATGATCCCTCTTTATGACATTTGTTTTTGTTGAATTTGGCCTCTTCCAAAGCAGTAAATACCAAGTAATCAAATGGCCCACTAATTTTTAACTCACACAATTCCACCTGTGGCATTTATACCAAATATAAGTTTGATGCATTTATTCTAGGCACAAAGCTTCATTTTTTCACATCACACTACAAAAAGAACATATATATATATATATATATATATATATTGCAAATAGTTGCAACTTGAGGCCAATCATTTTTACATGTATGTTCAAAACAGAAAGTCTCCTAAAGCTCTCAATGGTTTCTTCGAATGAGTTAGTATGTAACCTGATTAGTAACTTCTCTCTTTTCACTTCTCCCATATAGAGCACTATGTAAATTTAGCATATCGATAATACAAGATATATCAAACAGTATGTAAAACTTTGTTGGTTTTTTTTTAGTACAATGGTGCTATTTTGTAGTTTGTTATATGAAAGAGTCTGGTCAAAATGGTAAATGGTGAAAGCAAAAACAAAAGGGAAAGCATGAGGATGCCAAAAATGACCAAAAGAGAAAGGAAAGTGAAAAACTGACCACTTGGGAAAGAAGGTAAAGTGCCCCAATTATGCCTTCCAAGAGGAACTTAAGATACAAAACCCACTAATGCACATTTGACAGGCTAGTCCAAAGAGGAAGCCTTAGCATGGAAACCACAAAAGGTAAGACATTTTTTAAGTCTTGGTTTCTTTTTTCCTCACTGAACAAAGTAACATCTGCCAGCTCTGCCAGGGACTCACCACTGTGTGACCTTGGGCAAGTCACTTCACCTCTCTGTGCCTCAGTTTCCTCATCTGCAAAATGGGGGCAATATGTCATCTACCTACCTCAAAGGGGTGGTATGAGGATTAAAAGATAAAGCTTCAGATCTTTACTCTGAGTCCCTAGAAAGGTGGAAGATCAAAGCCCTTGCACTGATGAATACTCACAATAGGTTTTGTAAACAGCCGCAGTTACACACAACAGAGCTCACAAGTTATAAGCCACATGCTTCTGATAACCCCAGTTCTTTTCAATGAAACTATCCAACTAATTAATTTGTCTGGCTAATTGAGGAATGTTCAGAATGCAATCTCTTAAAATACTTTCCGAAGTAAGTGACAAACATGTGAGTTATAGTTTGATTTTTAAGTCTTCATGTGAACTTTGGAATATAAAAACTAAAAAAGAGGAAGGAAAAAGGTAGAAAAATAAAACCATTTCTTCAGTGAACGAGTAATTACTGTTAGCTCTGGGTGTTCCAGGAAGTTACTCTCTTTTAATTTTATAATGATAATCTATTCATTTTGAAAAACATGCTTTCCTTCTCTTTAGATAACATATGAATATAGCCCAAGGGTTCAAATTCTGAAAGAATACCTAATTAAAAGGTCACAAAATTTCTTTAGGGAACTTTTATATTTGATTTATATGCATGTACTCACTTTTTTGTCTTGTTAAAATGTGCTGTCTAGACTTGTGAGCTGAGAGTCAAAAATGTCCTTCTCAACCCTTCCTGTCTGCTTAGAAAAATGGCCCTTAGCTTTCTGATACATTTGAGGATATTCAAGAAAATTCAGTGATGAGGACAAGTCCATGTGTTAACCTAAACCTGCCCCCTATCTCTGGATCAAGATTTTTCTTTTAAAACATTGAATCACCCAACGTTCAGATCTTTTTGATCTGCCTTAGACTTACTTTGTGTGAAAAATGTGCCGGTTTTATGATCTTATGCAAAGTTCATATAAAAAAATTACATCCTGAATTTTTCTTTCACTGAGTTACCTAAAGGTACAGAAGTGGGGATGGGGGTCTTCTTGGACCTGCATCTTTGACTGAGAGCAAAAAACATACAAAAATAAGGAAGGAAGGAAGCAAGGAAGGAAGGAAGGAAGAAAGGAAAAGAAAAGAGAAGAAAAAAAGCTATTCAGTTAGCAAGCATCTTAGCTCTCAGTTCTCAGTAAGTGATTTCAGTTGAGCCCCTTGGCATGCTGGGAAATATTGTGATTATTATGGAGAAACAGAAAAGAAACTAGAGGTCAATTTTACCTTCTGCCTGTTTTCCAGACAGGTGGTAAGAAGGGAGGCTGGATGCTCTCCCCAGGAGGCCACTTCTGACTTTCACTTCTTGTTTCCAGTGTGTACCTTTTAAAATTGCTGACTCCCTTAAGAAAACCTTACAGACAACTCTTCAGACTTACGGGTTTCATGACTTAGTTGGATATAGTAGTTCTGAGGCTCTATTCATTTAATTCTAGGACACAAATCTCGTAGCGGGGAAAGCTTAAACGTGCAATATATGGGTTTTTTTCAATAACTTTTCCAATGCATAATCCTCTCTAACCAGATTATAAATCAATTAATAAAAGTCAATTATGCTAATCCACCATTTTACCTTCAAATAACTATGAAGACAATTCTATGTAAACTCGGGAAGTTTTATGGAAGAATGACCTGTGATGGTTAGAAAGGAGTACCTCAAACTTCACAGTTCTAAACTTTACAAGCTTTGCTATGGAGTTACATTGTTTTAGTGCTTAGAATTGGGGCAAAATGATGATAAATGTAAGATTTGAACTAGTATGTTTATCTATGATTTAGTTGATATCGCTCAATACCTAGATCAAGTTTTGGTCCCATTAGAGTTCCACTGAAAGGTAAATGCACCACTCCATCAGAATACATGCCTCTAAGGTAAAAAAATATTCTTTATATTCATCCTAAACACAGACAGAGACACAGACAGACAGACAGACACACACACACACAGAGGGACAAACATCAGCTTAAGTATCCAATAGAATATAAAGAAGAAATCACATCCTTCCTTGCAAATCTTATTTAAAACAAAAATGAAACAAAATTAAATTTTTAAAAAAGATTCTTAAGCTTTTTTAAGAATCTCTCCTCTCCTTGGATGTCAAATTTTGTGCGGATAAAACCATCTCATGCTCTATAGCTTAAAATTTTTTCTTACTAGCTTGTGTACTGGGGGGAATGCTAGGCATAGAAAACGTAGCATATTTTTGCTTTCCCATTTATTGTTTGGCCAGCTATGCCAGTGGTGCTATTGTTTCTTTAAGAAAGTACTTGACTAAAAAAAATAAAAAGAAAAAAAGAAAAAAGAAAAAAAAAGAATGCATAGACATATTTTTTTAAAGTATGAAAACAACAATTCTATAGATAGATGGCTTAATAAAATAGCATTAGATCTAGCCACCTCCACCATCTTTCGATGTTTTATCATTTACAAGTATTATTCACTAAATTGTGAGTTTGGAGGTTCAGGGGCAGAAAATGGAAATTGCTCAAAAAAATTAGAAGGCTCGATTATTTTGTTGGCTCTTGAACTCAACATAGCAATATATCATACAATCTGAACACTTTTATCAAGAGCTTGAAGTAAAAATAAAAAAGAGGGGGGCAGAGAATAGGTGTTACTGGTAAACGGCAGAAGAAAGAGAATTAAGTTGCATATTGGGTCTTGTGTGTATGTGTATGTATGTGTGTACTCTACTTAAAAATAAATATTCAGCAAGTGGAGAAAACAAAAACAAAAAAGGATAGATTTTTCTTCCTACTAAAATATAGCTCTTGCCACATCCTCCTTAAGTATACTTTCCTGTTGACTGGTTTATAGAAGATGGTCTCCTTTCCCATAAATATCTGAAAGAGTAGTAGCTCATGTATAAAGCAATCACTGATCTCAGTGGAAAATGTTGGAAAGTATCTCCTTATGAGATGGGGTTATCTATTGTTTTAAAAATGAAAAGAGAGAGAAAGATTTATGAGTAATTGTTGAAATTTGAAATGGCTAACAATCTGTGAAGATATTTGGGGGGTTTTGTTTAGGGATTTTTTTTCTTTATAGAATCTTTATGAATATCTTAATGTTCAAAACAACTTCATCTTTTTTTTGTATTGGAATGAAGGATGGTGAATTGAACCACTTCTTTAAACCATAGGCTAGATAGAAATGTAGGTTTCACTTATGGAATCAAACTATTTAAAATTTTTTGCTATTTTTCCATTTTTAAAGACTGTTCTAATTCATTACAGTAGAATTTTCTGCGCACTCCTCACAGTGGGGGAAAAGAGAAGAAAAGTTTTCTCATTCCAATCACATAGACTTTCCTATCAGGACTTTTTTAAAGATAAAATTTGTTTATTTTTAAACAAAGTAGAAAAATTGCAGATTATCATGTGCCCCCCCACTTGAATAAGAAATAAAAGGAAGATTGCGTTGATGCTTTTGTTTTTGTTTTGTTTTCAATGCTAGTGTTTAATCAATCCTATAGTATATATTTGCTTATTGCTATTTTAATATTCTATAAGATTTTCCTGTTAGGTATTAGAAATTGATACATAGATATCATATTTTTGTGATTTTTCTATTTTTTTTTAAAGGAGACTGTCTGAAGCTTTAAGTGCATATGGTACAGGATAAATAGAACAATTTAATTACCAAGTTGTATCTGGAACAGTCTTTTTTTTTTTTAGGAAAAGTCTTGCAGATAAGTCATAGGCCAAGGGGATTTTATAACCATCTTTATTCCTCCAAGTCATTTTTTTCATTGTCTTCTCAGAACTTTACAGAGGGCTAAAACCCTAGAATTAATGAAACCTCTTTTAAAAAAAACCTATATTACAAGTATTTTCTTGTTATGTATAATTACATTGGTCATAAATATAGCCCACTTTCCTTAGTTTTCCACCTGTGATTGATATGAAAATTTAAAAACAGAGAACACAGAGTCCAGATGTCACTGTCCAATTAAGCTAAGTTGGA